AGGTTCACACAACCCATCTCGCTATCTTCAACGATGGATGATGTTCCCTTCGCTAGATGAAGTGTCGACATCAATATGAAAAATGTTGCAAATTTCTGTCCCTGAGCCGTCAAGGCAATTTTGGAGGAGAAAATATAACATGTCAGCTTCCAGTTTTCGTGGTTTTAGTTAAGGAGACGGATTCGGTCGAAGGTCAATCCAAAAAAAGACGGAGACGTTTCGTCAACCGAAGTCATCAATATGTCACAACAAGTCGTTGATGAGTCAGCAGACGCAATGAACCAAGAGGTGAAGCATAGCTCTTTCAAAATTTCGACAAATTGTCGCTTGATGATTCGACCCATGCATCGTACGCGTCAACTTCTCGAAAGGGGACAATTGTTAGAGCAAGAATTTGGCGATCTATGTTGCATTGAAGAGGGTTAATCATAGAGGTTAATGAGGCTTAATGATGGCTGTTGAAACGGATTTGTGGTTATTATTAAGGTTAATAACGATATTAAGGCAGGAGGTTACTTATTTTGAGCTAACCAACATTAATGACAAGTTGTGAAACCGTCGGGTCGGAACCGTCAAGTCAAAGCGTCCGTAACGGACAACTCGAGCTAGTGGAGCATTTGCAAGGCCTAATGACAATTATTGTAACGTCTTTATGTATTATTAGCTTCTTTAATATGGTTAATGAAGATATTGATTGACCGGCCTTTATGACAGATTTGAAATCGTCATAAAGTGCGACCAACCCGTCAGTAACGTACAAAGCCATCATGAGAGCATTAATTACTCTTCCTATAAATATGATAGCCCTCATTGTAATCAGGGCAGATCATATTCGAATAATACACAAGCTTTCACTATTATTTACCCATTTGTCATCTCCTTCATTGCTCTTGTACGAGACCCATTTTTCATATAATTTTCTTTTTAAATTAGTTTTAGCTTATCAAATTATTTTTTAAACAGTGGCTCATCCTTAATACAGCTAGTCTATTTACTACTACCTCCTTCCCACTAAGATTGGGACAAGAGAGGTGACACAATTATTAAGAAAAGTGGGTTTGTGTGGTCGGTATTAAATTGATAAAGTAAGAATACAGTAAAATTCATTTAGAGCCACACAAATTTTAACAAATTTGGTATGAAACAATCTTAGTGGGATTTCCCAAAAAAGTAAAATAGGACAATCTTAGCGGGACGAAGGAAGTATGAGTAAATACTTTTTTTTTGCATAAACAAGTAATCACATTGCTGTTTTTTTAATCCCAAAAATCCACCAAAGTTTGATGTGGTAAATGTTGTGAAAGATTTACCACATTTTATTAAATAACATGAATGCCCAATTACCCGAAGGGTGAGGAAGCCTTACCCATAAAATGAGAGTACGAGCAAAGTAAAAGATGTGAAATACTACGTAATAAAGTTGTTGGCAGGGATCAAAAGCCTTTTAAAGTTAAATGTCTATCCCAAAGGCCCATAATAATCAAACGGGGCCCAAAACCCTTAAATCTAAAGATTTAGACCAAAGGCTCCAAAAGCGATGGGAAATTCTATTGACAACCTTCATATTACTATATACAACCTCAAAATAAATAATTGTAAATAAAACCTATTCGAAATAACTAGTTTACCATCACGATAATACAATTAGGAGTTGACATTTTGAATCGAAAATCCGCAAACCGAACTTAAAAAACTTAACTGCCTTGAAAAAAATGAACCAAATCGATTGAAATTTGGACCGGAAAATTGGATCCCGATAAAAATTGGTTTAAAATCGGTTTATATATCAAAATATCGGTTTAAACTGAATCGAACCAATAATTTTATATTAATAATAATGAATATAATTAGTAGTTATATATAATCATAGTTAATGAGATTAGTGAAGTAATAATTAATATCATATCAAGTTCAATATTGTAAGTTGGTCGTGCGTGGATTTAGGATGTTTTTACTTGGACTGTAATTTGCTGGTCTGGTCTGGTCTAATCTGGTTTCTTTGTATATTTATAACTATTCAAGTCTGGTCTGGTCTGATCTGGTCAGGTCTGAGAGGAATTACAGTCCAAGTAAAAACATCCTTATTTATTAGAGATCAAGGTATCAAATCCTATTGATGTATTTATTTTAAATTCCAATTTTCTTTCTAAATCACCTTGTCCCACACCGGAAAGAACATTGACCGATATTACATCACTCAGTTTAATGAGATCCTCATCAATATTAATCTAAGTTAATCGTCGCAACTTTCCGGCCAATGAGCTGTAGGAACACAGACATGCATTGCAGTTAGTGGTTTTGCCGGAGCCAGAAGGACCAACCAACCACTATCTGACCGAACACCATTCCAGTTTTATGAAATTTCCTTCTCTACCGGGTCACGGCGGAAAAGTGTGGCGTGGATGTTGGTGATTTTAGTATCACCAGGTTCATTTTAATGTAATGGATTTTACAGATTACCAATGGAATTCAAGTTTAATTTTAGACAAGTTAGGAGGTGCGGAGCGCACACTTGTACGAAATTAAATTTAAACTTGGTTCGATTAAATGGCGGGGGTCAAGGGGGCTGCACCCCCTTGCGGGGTCCAAGGGGCTGCGCTCCCTTGCGGGGTCCAAGGGGCTGCGCCCCTGGCGGGGGTCTCGTGGGGCTCGGGGCAGCGCCCCGGACCAAAATTTTATTTTATTAAAGAAATAAATATGGAAATTTATTTTCGGATAAACATGTCCATATTAATTATTTAATAGAATGACTTTCTGTTAGAGTAAAACTCTAACTGATTGGCCTTATCTCTTTGGTAATCAGAAGAATTCGAGTTCTACTAAAACTGCTAGTTCGTGGTCTATATATTGGTGCCTCAGTTTTAGACTGTCTCTCAGAGTGATTATCCCCATAATCTAAATTTCGTGTAACCCAGGCATAGGGTCGAAATATTAGATTCGGAAAGTGATCACACGATACTCTGAGAAATCCGCCAGATTTTCTAAAACAGTTTCCCAACTCCCCAGTTTTAACAGTCGACTGATGTAAAAAGGTTGCAGGTTTCCCTATAGATGAGGGGAGTTTTCCCTTCTTGCTTTCACGGTTTATGTGTTTTGTGCAATCCAGAAGCTAACGTTCTAGCGTTTAAGTAGCCATAGTTATGTAAAGTAAGGGTAGTTTAGATATTTGAGATATTTTTTATTTATTATTATTTAATTAAGTGGTTGTGTTTAGTAAAAAGGGGGTTGTGAATAGAATTTTCCTTATACAATTAGAAAGTCGGGGTTTTTTATGGTTTCCGATAAACCAACTCGAAAAATCGAGTCGCAACAAATCGGTACTCGGTTCTCATTGGTTCTGTTCCAGTTCTGCGAATATGTCAAACTGAAATATCAATTCAGTCCTTGGATACGTAGCATTGATTTGAGACCCGACCCGAATCCAGCCCTAAATACAACCGCTCACACTATTTGTAAATGGGTGTTTCGTACAAAGCGTTTGCCTAATGGTGATATTGGCAAGTACAAAGCCCGTTTGGTTGCCAAGGGGTTTCATCAACGTCCATGGGTGGACTATACGGTGACTTTCAGTCCGGTTATAAAACCAACTACCATTCGGATGGTTCTCTTGAAAGACACGAAAAGCACCTAAGAGAGGGGGGGGGGGGGGGGTGAATTAGGTGTTTTAAAAAATTGTGCTTGAGATATGAAGGCAGCGGAAACAATCAAGAATAGAACAAACAATTTACGTGAGTGTTAGTGCACAAACGAATGTAAATTAGTGTGTGTGTGTGTTCAAACAAGAAAGTAATTAACAAGTAAGAACACAATGATTTATAGAGGTTCGGCTAATCCTACTCCTCTACCTAAGGGCACCTCCCTCAGGATTTCCAAATCCACTAAAAATGGTCTCCCTTGAACACAAGAAGAGCACCACCTAAAGTTTTGGCAAACAAACCCTTGCCAATGAGTATGAGTTTTACACGGGCTAACTCACAACCTAATGGTTTTCAAGAGGATCAACCAAAAACCTCAACTAATGGTTTTCTAGAGGCACACCAAAAATCTCACAGTGGTTTTCAAGAGGCACAACCACACAACCTCAACTAAGTTGGTTTTACAACGGGCTAACCAACAACCTAAGATTGGTTTTAGGGAAACCAAACAAAACCTTACAAGATGGAGAACAAATACAAGTAGAGAATATGATCTCAAACTCTCAAGCAGAATATAAAGATTGATGCTTGACGTAGAGTTGAGAATTACAAGGCAATACACACAAAGATATAAAGTTTTATCAAGAACAAGTGCGATTGCAAATATCAAGTAGCTCTCTCAAAATCTGGTTTTATCAAGATTAAAAATATGAATTTCAAGAGCTTAAAACCAATGTGAATTTCTGCAAATAAATTTTAAAGTGATAGCACAAGTAGAATTCAAGAAATAATAATCACCTCACGAAATAAATTTTCAAGAACACTTGCAGCCCGTGCTTCACCTCACGAAATATTCTTGATCGTGAAATATGACAGACAGGGGAAAAGATGAGCTATGAGAATATGAGATTATCGTCGAAACGCACATACAGAGGAAGATAATAATCAGCAGCGAAAAAATAGGGGAGGGTAAAGAGATGATCGTAACTGAAGACCCAAAATGCAGAAGCGCTAAATGGGGGAAAATGATTATGCGTAGAAACCGGTAGAAAATAAGCAGGGGCAATTTTGTACCAGTGTAATCCGTATGATTCAACATAGGATTAATATGATCCTATTAAGGGAAATAAACATAGGAGATCCTATTTAGGAATTTTAAGAACTTTTTAATCCTATATGGGACAATTTCTTTATAAGTTATTATCAATAAGTTTTAGATTCACTATGCACCAGAATCATATATTTGTTCATTACTTTTATTTTATTTTTTTATTTATGTACTTCGAATTATTTCAATAAAATATTGAAGTGTGGGTATTATTTATTTCGACGCCCTGTTCATCTTTTAATTTGTGTATATTTAAGCGAGTAAATGAAGCGGTGAGCCAAAAAGGAAAAGGAAGACAGAAGCCTTGCTCTAAGATACAGCAACTATGGCAGATACTATTAGCAACAGAAGAAGGAGAAGAGGCGTTTTCGGAGTCTCGATATGCGGTGTAGCGGATGAGATCGAGGAACTGTCCAGAGACGGCAGCCAATTCAGCCTCACCACCGGAATCCTCCCCTCTCTCGGCGCCCGGAGCAGCCGCAGAATCCAGCTCCGCCGATTCACTATCTCCCCCTACGACCGCCGCTACAGGTCAGTCTCCTCTTATTTCCTCCGCCGCAATTACCGGTGTACTCTGCTCACGCATTAAATAATAAATTACATAAAGAGGACTGTCTGTACCTTCTTATCTTCCTTGTTTTCTTTTTTCTTTTTACAGAATCATTTCATTTTGCTTCCAAAATATTAATTCCGTTTTAATACTCCATTTTTTCTTTGCTTTCATAAATTTCAACGACACTGTTCATTTAATGTGGACTGTGCCCAATAAAAATAGAAAATTGAAAAGGTGCTGAGGAAGTAAGTAATAATTGCATACTCAAGAAAGCCGGTGCGGAAGTTTTGACGGAAATAAAAATATTATTCTACTTCGTGACTCGTGTATTCTTTTGGGCTAATTAGTAAAGTACTAATACTTACTCATAATAATCATCTGGTCTTATCAAATTATACAATTCGGTCCATGCAAAATCCGAGTGAAATTGATTTTTCACACCTAATTACTCATTTTGTGGAATAATATTTATTTTCTGTTATTATCGTGTTTAATTAACATTACAATTAATTTCGGACTCCTGTCAAAATATGTTTTCACAATTATTAGTTATTTTTTTCCAATTTATTAATTTTAGGAGTGGTTTTCAAAATATTACGAAAATAAAACTTATTTATAAAATTATAACTAAAAGTTTTTAGAGTTAAAAAAAGAAGATACTATAATATAGTGTATAAGTTGCACATAAGTTACTATAACTACATGTTTAGTAACTATAGGTATGTGTATTTACTACTAGTCACTATGTCTAAGATAACACTTTTTTGTAAATAATCTGTATTTTAATCATAAATGATCGAGTAACTATTAGCTATGTATAACTACTACTAGTTTTTAAGATAACACATTTTTAGTTTTTAAGATAACATATTTTTATAAATAATCTTTATTTTAATCATAATGGGGTCACCCATTCAAACCACTCTAAAACTAATACACAATTCTTGGTGATTTTTCTAGGAATATGTAAGGCTAAATATTTAAGCACCATTTTATTTTGACTTTGGTTTAAGACTTTCATCTGGATGGATAGGGTAATTCAAAACTCTATAACATACTCCGTATTTCTTTCAAGTAAAAATGTTTTGCAAAAATATTGATTTGCATAAATTATTTATATCCATAAATTATTTACTTAATCCTTGCATAATTCTACACAATAACAAATAAATTCACATTTTTATATTTACAAATATAATATACCTTGTGTACGTGTCGTGTACTTTAGAGGAATGTTGTTTTGACTTTTAACTTGTACGTTTATGACTGTCCGCATAGGCACATATCATGGGTTCATTCTTTTATAAAGGAAAAACAATAATTTTACTTTGCTCATTTGAAAGTGAAAAAGAGACTGTATTTTTTCGTAGAGTATATTTGTGGAGTATGCTTGCGAATGACTAGAATTTATTCATCTAAAATATTTAGAAAATCTCAATCATTCATTATGACCGCTTGCTCCTTAATGAGCATGCTAGCGTGCTCTATATATTCAAAAATGTTTGATGTACTCCTTGTGTATTTCTCGATGTGTAAGAATGTTTTTAATTAGATTGAAACTTTCTGGTATGATTGGTGTCAGGTTTAGGTGTAGTTTCTTATTGTCTAAGTGTTGTCTGGTATGATATAGTCTGATTTATTTAATCCTGATTTCGTCTTGTGTGATATGATTTAATCTGAGGCTTAAATCAATCTAATTAAAAATATCCATAATTACTAGATCCTTTTAAATTTACGGAGAACTATCAAATAAGCTCTCGAACTTTCATAAAAAGTGCAAATAAGCCCTTTTACAGGAGGTTTGTTTGGCTGTCGCCATTTGAGGCAGTTTCTGATGAATTTTTGATGAATTTTTTGAACATCTTCTTCGTTAAGTCTAGTTTAGCCATACCAAATTTCAGCTAAAAATTCAATCGATAAGGCAGTCAAATGATTTTCTGAAATATACTGCGCTGTCTAAATGCGCAGTTATCTTCAAAAATTCATTTAACGACCTTCTGGATTGAATTTTTAGATGAAATTTGGTATGAGTAAACTAGACTTAATGAAGAAGATGCTCAAAAAAATTCATCAAAAAATTTCACTGGAAACCACCCCAAATGGCGACGTCCGGACAGAGCCTCCTATAAAAGGGCTTATTTGCACTTTTTATGAAAGTTCAAGGGATTATTTGCTAGTTCTTCATTAAAATTATATTGACCTAAGCTATTTTGATACTCCCTCAGTCCCAAATTGTAATATACATTTACTATTCACTTGGTCAACATAAAACGCTTGTAATCTTTCACTTTATATATCAAAAGTTTATGAAATTTGAATCATTTTTTGCAGATTCTGTAGCGGTTTTAATGTAGTTTCTGAATATATAAATTTTATTTTCTAAAACTAATTAGAGTGGTGACAGGGATTCACGTCGCATTTACATAAATTTTATTTTAATGTAGTAAAATTTTTATTTTACTTTACCTTAAACTAATACTCCATATGACTTCTTTAAGTAAAGGTGGCATTCACGTCGCAAGCAAGTCATATCCATAGCACAACGTACGTAGATATGTAAAATTAATCAAGTCGTTGGGGAGGACCGACACACCACTTTTTAAAGAATTTCTAATGTGATAGTTTATTAATTTCTAATTTCTTAAAATAATATTCCTTTCATCTCGTTATTAAGATTGCCCATCATTCCTTTTGGGTCCAGCTCTATAAAATAGTTTTATACTGATTTTAGTAAACTTTGTGTGATTTTAAATCATTCTTGAATTGCTTAATCTCTACTCTATTATTTCAATATATAAGTTCTCTACTTTTCTTAGTAATTGCACCATCTCCTCATGTTTCAATGCTAATGGCACAGAATAAGATTTTTTTAGTAAATAAAATTTACATATTCAGAAACTACATTAAAAGTTTTATGAAATTTCAAAAGAAAAACTCAAATTTGATAAAATAAAAGTTAGATACGGAGTATATAAAATAAAAAACTAAAAAGACTTTACATTGACCTAGAATAATAGTAGACGAAAACTTTAACCGCCGCCACAAATATACCTAAAGCCTTAGCCATCGATGTATTTTTATAATTATTTTCCCTTGTTTTTTCGTTTGAATACTAATTATTTCATCGTGGTCATGATTTTAGTTCTACTCGTTTATTTTTTGCAATAGTCATTTAGATGTTTGAACTTACATTAAGAGTGTTGGGTGAACGATAATGTTTTTAAATTGACTTGAACTGTTTGACATGGACGACAAACAAATATTAATACTATTTGACAAACATCAATTTTCAGATATTTTATACTTCGTATTACACAACCAAATTTGAAATGTTATGTTGGGAGTTTCTTTGTACTACGTATGTGTTTTTTGTCTCTCAAAAAGTCTACACGCTCTAACTTTTACCCTTTTTATTAGTATTAATACAATTGTTTTTTATGATAGTATTAATACAATTGTTAAAATTATAAATATGAATTAAAAAAGTAGAAGAAATATTGTTATTGTTTTTGGTGACAATCATTTGAAAATTAAATAGTAATATAAAAATAAGTAAATGAAAATAGTACGAAGTAATATAATCTTGTAACAACACTAAACGTATCAAATAGTTAAATTAATTGTCTCATTTCCAATTTGAAAAGACATCCACTCAAAAAAGCTATGTTTAAGAAATCAGACCGGGAAGCGACCCGACCGCGTGACTGGGTTGGGTCAACCCGGTCAACGCTATATAACCGGTCAACCATTTAACAATAATAAACATATAATTGTATACAAAATTAAAATAAAAGGTAGTTATTTCATAATAATCAACCTAACTAATAATAATACTTATTATACATTGGGAAAATGAAAACTAATAATCCAACCTTTTAGCGGTCTTCTTACAATAGTCCACCTTTTGATTATTCAGGAATAATCTAACCTTTGCACCCCATCTTCATTCAGTGGTCGCTGACCGGTTGATGACCTGCTATTCCAAGTTATTTTCTTATCTTTGCAAAACATTATGTGACCATAAGGTGAGATTTATGGTATAATATATTGCAAAGATAAGAAAATAACTTGGAATATCAAGTCATCAACCGGTCAGGGACCATTGAATGAAGATGGGGTGCAAACGTTGGATTATTCCTGAATAATCAAAAGGTGGGACTATTGTAAGAAGATCGTTAAAAGGTTGAATTATTAGTTTCCATTTTCCCTTAAACATTTAAAAGTTAAAAGTCTCATAATATTCCAAAATGTCATTTTGATCTTATTAAAATATACTAGTAGTATAATAATACTTCATATATGTTATTTTTATTGGACATTTATTATATAATATGACATGATTTTTATTTCTTAAACAAATAAGTAGTATATAAATATATCATACTTCCTATATTTTTTCTTTTTAGGGTATTGAAATTGCAATTTAATTGGTTAAAAATGCTTTAAAATTTAAAAAAAGGAAAAGAAAAACAACCAAAATCAGGGGTTTTCGGGTTTATCCGGTCCGGATTTCGGTCCGGATCATCGGGTTCCGGGTCAACCCGTCCGGGTTGGATCGGTTTTTTAAACTTAGCAAAAAGGAGCTACATTATCAAAAAAAACTTCTTACTTTTTATAATATTTGAAGTAATTATCTAAAACTACGCGAAAAAACAAATGGAGCATAATCTGATATGGAGGGAGTAAAAAGGTACTCCCTAGTGTACAATGAATAAGGTGAGATTCCTACAATTGTAGTGTACATAAAGGTTTACGCTTTACACCATTTGCATATGTTGGGTTCAGTCGGGTGCCCATATAATTACTATCCGTGAAATTAGGTTTCACTAAATCTGCATGTGTAGAAAATCAATTTGAAAAACCTACTTGTTTACACAGATATTGATTTATGCCGTATACTTTTCTTAAATAAAAACTCTAATGGGAAAACTTATAAATAATTCATAAATTAGTTTGCCCGATGGGAAACATTAATATGTGCTGCTTTATCACGTGTACTTTATATCCACGAAAACTAATGTGTGGACAAACATTAGTTCTGTAGGGCAGACATTAATCGATAAGAAGACATGTTTTGTCCATAAAATGGAATCGTGGTAAAGTGCTGTCTATCCGGCCTCTTGATTTTGCATCCATCAAAACAATAATTGTTTCGTGTTGCAGGCACGTTGTACACGACATTTTACACGCCGACGCATACAATTTTTTTCATTTTATGAAAATAATTATTTTTCGCATAGACATTTTTTTCGGTGCAAATAACGATTCTCTTGACAAAACGAAAAAAATTGTCTGTATGCAACTAATTTGACCGGTGCGTAAAATGACGTGTACAATTTTGCACATACAAACAACATTTTCCCCATTAAAATACAGTAACATGAGTGGGGTTCAGGTTCTTAATTGACATTCTTTTTTAAGATTCTGGTAAAGATAAATGTTCCTTTTGTAGTTGCATTATTTTGACTACGTCCACTAATGGATGAATTGTCGGTAGGAAAACGACGACTCGGAAAGAATGTGCCGAATCTATCTATTTCTAAGGCATCATTCTTTTAGCCTCATCTTCCTCTCATCTGCTCCAGAATCTTTACTAACTTTCCGTTTCTTCAGCCAGCCATCAACCTAAGAGTATTGTACGAAGAATTAAAAACCTGAACGGTTTTTCATGTACTGTAAAGTTGTTCCCATTATACCCATCTTTTGACTTCCACAATATTGGATTCACTTTGAGCTTCCTTTGAAGGAGAGAAGTATGAAAAGAATAAATTTTGGAGAAGCACTAATTTAAAAAAAATTAAGAACATTCAACGGATTCAGCCATTTTGAGCAAACTTATAGTTTGCACAAAATTCGTAGATGTTGGAGATGTTGGGATTCGAAAATTCTTCTGTTCAATATCAAGAACAGAATTACAATAGGAGGAGCAAACTCTCATACTCAACTATTACAAAAAAATCATCCTCACTAATACACTCCTACTTTAAGTGTATATCACTCTTGACACACTTTTCTCACTTTAGAAACTGATGCTAATGAACAACAAGAAGCGCTCTATTTATAGGACTAGTTTGGAGACAAGAGGAAGTTGCATCCAAGCTTCCATTCACATGGCTAGGGAGGATCCTAGCTATCTCCAAATCTGCTCCTATGTTTACTTGTTGGAGAGCTCTTTCAAAGAAGGTGTTAGATGCCTCTTGGCAACTTCCAAGAAAGAAAAGAAAGTGGAAGATCCCTACGGGAGAGAACATGCAATCCCACCTAAAGGCCGTTGTGTCTCCGTGATTTGATCTTTTCAACGTTGCATAATAATCTCTATAAGTCCGATGTGTGGGGCCAGGCGGGGTTGGAATTCTTATTAGTTGGGACCCCTGTGGGGTCGACTTCGAAGAAACAGAAAACCCACATTTGGCAAGAAGCCAAGAAGTTATTACAAATTGGAAGAAGTAGATTTTTTTTGAAATCCCTTTATGGATTTATAGATCAAGCTATGCAAATAAAGAATGCTACTCTATGAAAAGTTGTTAAACTCACTTTTCATCAACGAAACCATCATCTTTCTTTAACATTCTGTTCGCCCGAATTTTCTGGTTCATCAACTGCAACATTACCTTTCTTTTTTGCATATTTTGTGGCTGGAGTCTTGGTTTTAACTTTTAACCAAGCTAAAAAGCTTGGCAGTCTTGAGATCTTAGGAAAAACTAGGGGTTTTCATCCAGTATTACAAAATCATGCTAGTACTTCTTACCTATCAATTAATAAAAATGTAACAACTTTTTAAATATTTAAAAAAGAGACCGAAATATTTTTAGTATGTCCACTACAAGTGATTCGCGCCGCACCCCATATCGCATCACCAGTGATAGAATCCTACATGTTCACTTTGACAGGCGGCACGGCGGCAACAATCTTGTGACTTTTTCAGCTGGCTTGTTCAGGAAAATTCCGTCCATTTGGTGGAGGGCGAAAGGGAGAATTATAATTTCAGAAAATCTAGTCCTGTTTTGGTCATTTTTGGAACATTTTAAAAGTGGTCCTGATTTCCTCAGACTTTCAGATTAACATCTTGAATCCTTGATAATTTAAAAGCAGGGTATAGAGTCAATACTGCTTTTTAACTTTCCTTGTAGTACGTATTCCAAGTTTCCAACAAGGTCTTAAAAGTAATCTGTTCAAAACTTCATACCTAATAACACTCTAATAATGTTGTAGCTTACAATGTTAGCTTTTAGTCTCACAATTACTAGGGCATGATCAATTTGGGTCCTAACTATCATTTTTGCATTTTTGTGCACTGCTATGGATTCCTTGAACTAGTAGTCTTCCTAATCAGTTATTCTATAAATTCCCGCACAAATATTTGTTTATGTTTTGCTGGATAAGAAACAAAAAGAGTAAAAGTTTACCAATGTTTCATATTCATATACCAAAAGTGGAAAATACTGAAAGTCGGTGGCCAAAAGTGCATCCTCACTCTTGTCCCCTGACTTTCATTTTTCCCACTTTTGCGGCACAGCTATATAGTTCATTATCACCAGTGTCACTTCCAATCAATTTCCGGACCATTTTAAAATCAAAAGTGACCATAGTGTTAACCAAGAGTGACAAGTAATGACGAACTCCAAAAGTTAAAAAGAGTGAGTTTATGGCCAGTTGACCACCAAATGTGGGAATGACCTACTAGACATGAGAAATTTTCTGTCTTATGCAAAATGGTTCCAACCCCCTCTTTCTGCTAAAACCAACTCATATGCATGCAAATGTTCTCAGGATATGGGAAACCTTTTTGGTAGTTCTGGTCATCTACACAGCTTGGGCGTCTCCTTTCGAGTTCGGTTTTCTTAGAAAACCAGAAGGGCCATTGTCTATTATTGACAATGTTGTCAATGGATTCTTCGCAATAGATATAGTCCTCACCTTCTTTGTGGCATACCTGGATAAGACCACATACCTTGTGGTTGATGACAGAAAACAGATTGCTTGGAAGTATGGGACTACATGGTTGGCACTTGATGTCATATCCACAATCCCTTCAGAGCTAGCCAGGAAAATCTTGCCAAAACCTTTAAGACCATATGGCTTATTCAACATGCTTCGCCTCTGGCGTCTCCGTAGGGTGGGTGCTTTATTTGCCAGGCAAGTCCTTCTTTGGTATTCTGATGTGGGTCCTGTGTGGATGAATCTACTTAAAAAGTAGAAAGAAAAGATCTTTTGAAATATCAGTTTCAGCCTAATAAGCAAGTCAAAGGCTGCTTAGAGCCTATTTAGTAAGGCCTAAAACAGTTCCAGAAACTGAATGTGCTGAAATAGTGGCTGAATATTTCCTGAACTACCTAAAATATTTATTGAAATGTTTTTTTTTAATAAATAATTGAGAAAAAAGTTTTGTTTTGAGTGTTACTTTCAAACACGAGTAACTGAAGATAACCATGAGTGCAAAACCAGTTTGAAAAGATTTCTGGGATGTTTTGGAAACATTTCCAAAGCACAACAGATTTGTCCAATCACACCTAATCTGCCATTATCTTTCTTTACGCAGATTGGAAAAAGATAGAAACATCAACTATTTCTGGGTTCGTTGTGCAAAGCTTATATGCGTAAGCCAACTCTGCAGCTATCTTTCTTTTGATGGGTTGGGTGGGGAAGATTACAAAGTCCATCTAGGCCTTGTTTGTTGCAGGCGTTTTGGAGGCCAGGAGTTCAATTCATTTATCAATACTTATTAGGCTTATTATATGAGAAAATAAATATCTTCTTTGTTAAATCGTGTCTTTGTTAATAACTTTTTACTTCCCCTCCCCTCCAAAATCCCCAACTATATAAGTGGTTAATAGCTGTTTGAATTGCCATTTTGGGTCTGAAAATCATATGTTATTTATAAGTCAATGCTACACTGTCTTTTAAGCATTTAAGGGAGAATTTTGATAAAACTGAAATCTCGCCCAAAACAATGCCTCATGGGAACTCTTTTTTATTCCTTTTTAGTCAATTCATACAAAATACATAATAAAACCACTTAGCATATTTTCAAATCTTTACCCAATCATCCTCTTAGATAACATCTTACTTGATTCTTACAGGTCACTCTATTTGCTGTACATTGTGCCGGATGCTTCTTTTATCTTCTGGCCGCTGATTATCGTGACCCAAAGAGGACATGGATAGGGAATTTTATGGATGATTTCCTTCATAGGAGTCTATGGGTTCGCTATGTAACTTCAATATATTGGTCAATCACAACCCTCACTTCTGTTGGTTATGGTGACCTACATGCCATGAACACTCGGGAGATGATTTTTGACGTTATCTATATGCTCTTCAACTTGGGGCTGACTTCTTATTTGATTGGAAACATGACTAATTTGGTAGTTCATGGTACAAGCAAGACAAGACGATATGTGAGCAAATCTTAACTTATCTTCTTGATGATGATTAACTCCTTAGGGTTCTTGGAGACGTTTGGAGGGGAAGCATTTTGTGGGCTTAATCAGTATATATGATGAATCAGTATATATGTGATTGTCATTCATATTACATTTTAGTTTCCTTTATACTTCTTCAGAAATGATCTATTTATCAAGATATTAACTAAGTCATCCCAAGTTTTTTCTTCTAAAAGCTTCCATTCAAACAAACCTTCGACGGAAGATTTTGGGGGATTTATCCCTATCTTAAAAAATAAAATGTTAATACAGCCATTAAAGGATAATAGAAATGTCATATTATTGCCTGTTGTGTGGAGTTTCTTTAAAGAGCCATATATAGTGGGGTCATATAGGCTAACTTGACAACACCAATATCACTCATTTTAGTACGATACACCACAATAAAAATGAGTGGTGTTGATGTTCTCATGTTAGCCTCTATGACTCCATAACGGAATCATATATGGCTTCTTAAAAAAAATGAGTTATACTTTCAAAAAAGTATGATATGTGATTCTTTCGTTTTTGTAAAATGCTAAATACAAAGTTGTATATATAATACAGAGTATATAAATATAGACTTAGCATTCTAAACTCATTCCCTCTCATCCAAAGTCCAATCTGCCGTTAGGGTCTCGGATGGATGGTTAAGGAGGGTCAGTTGCAGGGAAGAGAGGAGGTGGAGGACTGCATCTCGATTTACATGTATAATTAATAAAATATGAAGAAAACATAATAGGTGCTCATTTAAAATTTCAATCACATTTTTTTCGTATTTAAATTTCAAACAATATCTGCTTTTCAAGGTAAACATAGAGCCACCGAACTCAACCCCTCCAAATTCTCCTTCCAAACTTGGGCTTTATGCCTTTATTGTGCCATTTTAGGAGCACGATTTTGGAGGGGGTTGATCAATAGTTTGATAATTATCATGTTTCGAAAGTGTATAAAATGTAAATGAAACGTTATAAAGTCATACTCCATATATATTAATAATCTTTGAATTCTTTTATAAGTATCAGTTACTTATATCAAGATGTAGATGATACCTTCAACACCCTCACTCCAAACAGACCCATAGTTTCTTCATATAGGGGCTTATGTTAACCACATCTCTAGTTTAAAATTACAGAGAGACACCATTCAAGCCGCCTCAGGTTTTGCCCAAAGGAACCATTTGCCAGTTCGTCTTCAAGACCAGATGCTTGCACATTTGTGCTTAAAGTTTAGAACAGACTCAGAGGGGATCCAACAGCAAGAGACTCTCGATTCCCTTCCCAAAGCCATCAGGTCAAGCATATCTCATTTCCTCTTTTATTCCATGGTTGACAAGGTCTATCTTTTCCACGGAGTATCAAATGATTTAGTCTTCCAACTGGTAAGTAGACTGTTATTGTTGTTGTTGTTGTTGTTGCTATAACTATTAGTATAATTATTTTGTCAGTTTATGAAACATTGAAACATGATTGGGGTCTAAATCTGTTCTTATTTTTACTGTGTGTACTTTAAAGGTTTCAGAGATGAAAGCAGAGTACTTTCCCCCCAAGGAGGATGTAATCCTACAAAATGAAGCACCCACAGATTTCTATATTCTTGTGACTGGAGCTGTGGTAAATTTGAATTTTGTTTTCATTGTATGTAAAGTATAGGAATAAATAGAAAAAGTGACGTTAGGAAATGTTTTATTCCTTTTCTAAACAATTCTGTTTACATGTTTCCTTAAACGCCCACATTAAATATGGAGCATCACTATGAACTTTGGTCATAAAAATAATAATGGTAAAATTGTGGGAAAGTAAATGTAGTACTACATATATTTTATGAGCATCAAGTATTCAATGACGAATTGACGACAAATAAATAGGAATGATGGGAGTAATATTTTAGGATATTCTTTAAGTTTCTTACTTTGTATGCTAGATGCTTCATGCTTGAACATCAACCAAAGTAAAGCGGAGGGAGTGGTTGAAATTTGTCTAAACTATGAATTATTTGGCAGGATCTGTTGGTTCTAAAAAATGGAACTGAACAGGTTGTTGGGGAGGCAATAGCGGGTGATTTATGTGGTGAGATAGGGGTTCTTTGTTATAGGCCTCAGATGTTCACAGTACGGACCAAACGTTTGAGCCAACTATTAAGGATGAACCGAACCACATTTCTTAATATCATTCAGGCTAACGTTGGTGATGGAACCATAATCATGAACAATCTCCTTCAGGTATAAACTGCAGTCCTTTTACTTGGGCAACGCTTTGGTGACATCTTTTTTGACTTATCCACCTTATCACTTCACTACCGCGCTGAATTGGCAAGTAATAAAAACAGTATAGTTAGAGAGGTACTTGTTTCGTCTGAATTGACTTAAGATGATGATTTTAGTTTTTTTTATATATACTTTTTAATGAAAAATATACATGTTAAATATAACTTTTTTTGATAATTTTGTTCTTCAGTCATAACTTCAGTTTTTAAATACTCACCCAATTTTAGTGTTACCAAACAAGCCATAAAGACTATAATGATATGAAGAAGAATAGTGGTATTTAGATTGGATTTGGGGTTTCAACTGCATTTTATCTATTTAAACATTTAAAAACACTTTTCCATTATTTGCAATGGAGCCAAAGACTCATTATTTTTTGGCTTGGAATATGATGGAATAAAGAAAAAAGGCTCACTAAACTGTTTGCGCTTCTTTGTTATGAAGCAGCAGTCAGTTCATGTAATTTTCGACGCGATTTTCATTATTGGTCATCCGGAAACAGTCTTTCTGCTTTTGTACAGGGGTAAGGTTGCGTACATTGACCCCCCTTACCCACCATAGGTGGGAGCCTTTGCCGCACTGGGGTAATGATGATGAAACATTTAAAAACACTGATTGGACAAATGTTGACCGTAACTATTCAGTTTGAAAGGAATCAATTGCTTCTGAAATCATTATATATCCTATTACTTCAGATAGACGGTGTAGTTAACCTTAAAAGTTGAAAACCAAAGCAATTTGAAATTTTAGTCCAAGGAGTTGATTTCTAATTTTGAAAAACTTTGAATCAGTTGGTAATCTCACCAAACTTTTGGAGAGATCGGTGTAATAAGGAAGTAATGTTCATTTAAACATAACTACTACTTTAAATACGGCTATTGTATTTTAATACTAAGATCCTATTTATTTTAGTCATACTTGAAGAATACCATTAGTTGATTATAGAAGATCATCACATAAAAAGGCCCTTTAAAGAATACATTAAGTTAGTGGGGTCATAGGGAAACACAATATGTTTCAGTCATTTCTTGGTATATTTTCATACAATTCACCCGAAAACCGAAGGATTCTATAACGTTAGCAGTTTGATTTTTCTTTTTGAGCAGCACCTGAAGGAGATGAAGGATGATCCATTAATGGAAGGAGTTCTGTTAGAGACAGAAAATATGTTAGCAAGGGGGAGAATGGAGTTACCACTGACCCTTTGCTTCGCAACACAAAGGGGAGACGATTTGCTGTTGAATCACTTGCTGAAGAGGGGATTAGACCCAAATGAATCTGACAACAATGGGAGAACCGCTCTTGTGCGTTATTTAACTTTCACATCTCTTGATATCAATTATGGCTTCATATAACCCCTCCTCTCCCCCTAATATCATTCTTGTTTTGTGGCTTTTATTGCCCCAATTTGCATTAATATCAGCATACAGCAGCATCCAAAGGATATGAAAATTGTGTCGCTCTTCTTCTGGACTTTGGAGCCAATCCCAACCTTAAAGGTATAATTAATTTCACATCCTTGTCTTACATTCTGTCAGTCCTCTTGTTCCTTCTGTTGGCGGCTACGGGTCAGACACCTGAACGATTAGCAAAACCCTAACCAAACTCATCCCTAACCCGACTAATTAAATGGTTAGTTATTGTTTTTTCTAACTGCCTCCAGTGGAGATCCTTCATTGGTGCATGCTTCAAATCCAGTTGAATGGTATTAGTAATTAGATCAGAGATAAGTGCCCCCATTGTTGATCCTACGAATATAATTACTTCTTAAGTAGAGCCAGACCTCAACGCCATGGAAGCCACTAGAAATGACATCATTAGATGATGAAGAAAAGCTTCTTTTATAGTAACAATACTAAAGGGAAATTAAGACATATATTGAATATGAAAACCATAGGATTGATCTACCTGGTTGCAGAAACCAACTAGTTAACATTAATTGTTACTAACTTACGTACATTATGACTATTTTTTTCACATAGCAAGCTACCAACAAATTTTAAAATCTGACAGGCAACCATAACAACCTGCTTTATTAAATGGAAAGTGGAAACCACCTCGACCAGGATCGCGTAAACTTAAAGTGGTCCAATTTTGTGATTGTAATGCATCATCCTGGTTTAATATCAGCCCAGATATAAAAATATATGAAATAATTGCTATGCTATGTGCTTTAACTGATTTTTTCCCTCGTTTTTAATGCATCCAGATTTTGAAGGGAGTATACCATTATGGGAAGCCATTGTGGGAAAACATGAACCTGTAATCAAGCTACTGTTGGACAACGGTGCAAACATATCTTCTGGGGATGTTGGTCAGTTCGCATGCATTGCTGCTGAGCAGAACAACCTCGACCTCCTCAAAGCAATCGTCCGTTGTGGAGGGGATGTAACCCTGCCCAGAACCAATGGCCCTACAAAGACAGCCCTCCACTTCGCGGTGTGTGAAGGCAATGTGGAGATGGTCAAGTACCTGCTCGACTGTGGGGCGGATATCAATAAGCCAGACGAGTACAGGTGGAGCCCACGGGATTTGGCTGAGCAACAAGGTCACAATGATATCATTGCACTCTTCGAATCCCGGTGTGATCAATCCGCTGCTGACACAATTCCCGAAGAACGACCGAGCAGGGTCCGCTTTATTGGGAGGTTCAAAAGCGAGCCCACAATGCCCCCCACGACACATTCAGAGGGATCGCTTGTGGGGAGGTCCCGCCCTAGACGTAGAACAAACAGCTTCCACAACTCGTTGTTTGGTATAATGTCGGCTGCTAATAACATTGACCAGCCAATTCTTTCCCCTGTGAAAGAAACCACAACTGAAAGACCCTACCCGACTAGAGTGACTGTTAGTTGGCCCGAGAGAGGAGACATTGCTGGAAAGGTTGTGCTACTACCTGAGAGCATACAACAACTACTGCAGATTGGGGTTAAGAAGTATGGTTTCTTGCCTTCCAAGATTCTAAGCAAATCGGGGGCAGAAATAGATGATATTAGATTGATCAGAGATGATGATCATATTATTTTTGCAAACGATAATAGAACAATGGATGTCAAATGACCAAAAACTGGTTTGTTCATAACCCAATGAAGATTGGGTATGTAAAATGTTGCATATTCTCTCCAAGGAGTTCACCGTGGATGGTCAAGAATCATGTACATTAATTTTATCGATATGATATCTATGGAGCAACTCCACTCTAGAGACTGTCCAGGTTAAGGAAAAATGACTTCAAGCTAAAAATGACTTCGGATGTTTTCTTTTGGATTGCTAGTATGGTCTGAACTGGTCTGATCTGGTCTGGTAAATGTCTGGTTTTTCTGTATTTTATAACTATGAAAGTCTGGTCTGATCTGGTCTGATGTAGTCTTGTCTGGCCTGAGATTGAAAATAGTCTAAAAGAATCGTATCTAGCCTCTTTTCGATGGTATATGACACCAAGGTTTCATTTTGGTAAGAACGCAAATATGGTTACAACTTAACATTAAAATCTCTCCGAGAAGTGTATATATATGCTTATTTTATATAATACTCAGTATATATTTATAATGTGTACGAGTAAATGTGAAAACTAAAAAAGTTTAAACTATCGTTTAGTTAATCCATGTGAAGTGGTATGTTTAGTAACTGACACTAAACACCTATTTAGGTTAGTAATCAATTTTTTAAGCAATCTATGTGTTTACATCACCTCTCTTATTTTTTTACATCACCTCTCTTATTTTTTTACATCACCTATCTTAATTACCAACATAATTGTGTTTTTAACAATGAAGTAAACACGTCATTGGTGCTATTGTTTGTCCTAAATAAGATTCACATTCAAATTTTAGTCAAATCAAAGAGCATGTTTGTTTACCGATGACAAATCTTGTTTATAAAGAGGTTTTCTAAATCCAACATATAATATTTATGTGTATGGTGTTGCATGGTTCAAATATATTTCTCTTTGATTGAATTATTATTTGTAGCAAATAAACATCGATCTATAGAGTAAAAATATGAATTATTTAAGAAAATATACTACCTCACGCCCGTTCAAAGTTTTTCATTGCAAAATGATACAATTATTTAGATTGTAATTAAATATGCTAATTCGATTATATTTTGAGGAAAAAAAAATAATGGGCATATATATAATGAGTTATTGATGATATATGTGATGTTATAAATGTATTGTTTAATATTTGATAATTAAATTGTTATTTAAAAATGTTAATTGTTTCTTAAAATAAAAAATAAAAATCTTTAAGTGGGGTGCCCAAGAAAGGATAGTGAAAACCTTTGAATGAGAGAGTGGGAGTATTACAAAATGTCTAAACCATCTCACTGTGGTCGACTGGTCGGGGTAGTGCATGCCCGAGATGGAAATAGTGTAATTTCTCGCAAAAAAAAAAGTATATCTTGTTGAGGGAAATGATAAATGAAAGAGAGTTTTACCTTAATAGTATTAAAACATACCATTTTTTCAAAATAGTACCAACTAGTTAAAACATCTTTAAATAGGAGTTTTTATTTGTGAATGGACCAAAATGCCCTCACTACTGCCCCTGGAAGCTAGACTGCCACCTGGCGCCACCGTCGGAAAAATTTCCAGAATTTTTTCCAGACAATCTGCTAGCATTTCCACTGCTGCCACCATGGACTACCCTGCCACCAACATACTGCCTTGGTTGTGCAAGAGAACTAGGGGGCACTTAATTGGGTTAATTAATTAATTAAATTAAGGGTAAAAGGGAGGGAGGGGGGGAGTAGTCCTATTTAGGAAAAATCAAACATTAAGTACTATTTTTGGAAGATCATATTTTGGGACTAGTTTGAACAATTTTCTCTAAATGAAAACTATTCAAATCGGTTATAACTAGCTATTAGAAACTATTTTAGAGCCCGTTTGGTAACACTGAAATCGGTTGAATCGACTGATTTTGCTGAAATTTATGAAGTTCTAGCTGACGTGGCCATATTATCATATTGTGCTGATTTAAGAAAAATTTATATTTAAAATATATTTTAATAATAAAATAAAACTTATATGAAAAATAGCAAAAAATGATCCTCTACAATAATTTCAGTCAATACAGACAGAAAAGTAAATTCAACCTTACTTTTTCTTATTATTACACAATTCAGCTCGCGAAATCAAAAGTTACGTGTTGAGTAAAACAAGGTTGCTTCACTTGCTTGATGAGTTCGATAAGCCAAAAAACAGAGTAATCAAAATGGGTTCTTAATTGTGCAACTGGCTTCTTAGCGAATATTTTATTTTTTACTCCGCTTCTTCTTATTGAAGAATAATATTTTTCCTTTTACTACTACTCCCTCCGTCCCTTATAACTTTGCCAACTTTCCTTTTTTGGTTGTCCCAAAAACTTTGCCACTTTCCCTATTAGTCAATCAATTTATGGTTTCTGTTATTTCTCTCTCCTCTGCACAAATCTCTACCACACAGTTTTTACTTTATTATTCTACGTGCCAGTCAAACTTGGCAATCTTTTTAGGGACGGAGGGAGTAATTATTAATGGAACCAACTTGTATAATTGGTTATTATTACTAAACAAAAAATAGTACTGTACCAATCATAAATTAATATAGCGTTATCTCAAGACTCAAACGCAGGTTACTTCGGAAGCAATGCAGTAAAATTTGTTAAATGGTAAAAAATAGGGTGGGCACGATCCGGGTCAGTCTGGGTAATTAATACGGAGTAAATCTTTAAGAATCGCCGGTTCCATTGAACGGGTAGGTTCGGTCCGAGTATATCAAGTCTCGAAATAGGAACCGGACCTCACCCACCCCGTTTGAAATGGGTCGGTTTGGTCTGAGTTCTCGGTGCTGTTTTTTGTAAACAAAGATACGGCTATGCTAGCAAAGTTTCTAGGAAAATATAAAATTCACAAACTTATTAAATGTTAATGTAACCATAATCTAGTAAAAATTCAAAATAAAAATATAAAAAATAACATTTTGAATTATTTAATAAAATATTTAACCACAAATCTATAAATTAAACAGAACACGACCACCTAAATTAAAATGTTAATCATCATTCATACACTAAAAAAATAGCACTATAAAGACATAAAAAAATTAATTAAACTAGTTACTCTACATATTTGTCTATGAAAACAACCTAAAGCTTATTAAATCTCAAAGTATAAGAAAAACAAAGATAATCAAATGAATATGCACACTTCAATCTTCATTGAGTATGTAACAGTCTTTGTTTACAAGCAAATACTACGTATTAAAGAGAAAATTTGATGCATTTGGAACAAAGAATAGGGGAAAGTATTTAGGAGTTTCTATGAATTCAGAAACTATTTAACTCCTTTTTATTGATTTTTTAATTGAGTGTTTTTATCTAGACATAAGAACATCAAGAGCTTTCGGGTGTTATTAGTATATTATACTAGTATTAAATATAATAGAGTTCTTTAAACTAATATTTTAATAAGATTCGGTCTGTGTACTCGTTTTCTTCAAATTTTAAGACCCGTTAAATTTCTAAGTTTTTTAAGGACTCACCGTGCACCGAACCGTTTGGATTTTCTAAAATTTGGTCCTAACTCTAACCCTAACCCGCTCTGAATCTGTATTACCCGGCCGACCTGCGGTTCCTCCACCCGTTTTCCCAACCTAGTAAAACCCAAATTAAGGTCATAGACTTGGGTTTGTAGACCCAAGAGAAAGGCTGAATTTCAAGCTTGATCAGATGATCGACTCAAGGGTCTCAAGCTTTTTCAGGTTCAAATTCTTCAAAAGAAGAAGAGTAAATTCCCTAAATAGGGGTAAAAAAGTTTTGAAATTCCAAAATAGGAGTATCATATTTTTTATTGTCTAAATAGGAGTAAATTTCTGCCAAGTTTGGCATTACTAGGCTATTAAACGTGGTATTTTTTTCAAACTTGGCAGATTACTCCTATTCAAGGAATAAAAAATATGATACTCCTATTTTGGCATTTCTGAGCGTTTTTTACTCCTATTTAGGGCAATTTCTAAAAGAAGAACTAATTGATGGCACAAATGATCAAGTTTTTTTCTGGATTTTTCTTCCTCTTCAACTTTCCCCTTGCATTAGCGTTTATATTATATTAGCGATTGTACTTTATTTTGATTTTTAAGAAAGGTTATTTTCTTTAAAAGAAAATGTTTTAGAATATCAAAATAGGAATGTTATTTTGGAGTCATCGTTACCAAATAGTTGTAGTACACCAGTACTAGGCAATGTTCTAAAAGGCGTAAGGCGTGCCGAGGCGGCAAGGTCAAGCCTTAAGCCTTTGGAGCCTAGGCGGGTATAGACGGGGTTTAGGCGTGATAAAGCGTTTTGATTTTTTATCCTTTATTTTAGTTTTCCTAGAGTTTTTATAAATATTTAAATTTAATATTAAAATAAAGATATGCAAAAACATCATAAAAGTTAAACATAAGTAACTTAAAAATAAAGTTACCACTATAGTCACTTTCTCTTAAAAATTACATTTTTATAATCAATCACTGTTTTAGTTATAAATATAAAATCATTTCTTCTTCTTATTATCATTATTATTTAGGATAATAATATATTATCAAACAAATTTCAATTTAATAACAAATGGACTAGTTGGTTTGCTCACTTGCTGGATGTACGAAGTACTCTGTATAACATTTCTCCCACACCGGAGGGCAGCTGATCTATTCTATAACATTTCTGTATAAACTATGCTTCTCCCACACAGCTGCTTACTCAAGGCATTCAGTTTTCCCACACCGGAGGGGAGATGAACTACTCAATAACATATCTCTATAAATTAGGCTTCTCCCACAAGGTTGTTTTGACAAGGCACTCGTGGGCTTTTCGACCAAATATTGGATTAAACGGCCCAAATCGAGACCTTGGCTTAGTCGGCCGCCTTTTGGCACGCATAATCGGTGAGCGAGGCGTTTGAGAGACGCGTTGCGCCTATTCTCGCCTAGGCGGCGCTTTTCGCCGCCTTTTAGAACACTGGTACTAGGCATTAATATGACATAAATTAATGTCACTAATTGTATTATTTTTCAATCATGACAATAATGATTTCTATTTTCGGGATGAAAAACATTTTTTATGTTACTCGGGATGAAAAACATAACAATCATATTTTGAAATTTCAAATTTACCCCTATTTAGGTAATTTTCCTAATATTTACCTTTTTAGTAGTAATGGAATCAGCTTGCATAATTGACGATTACTACGGAGTACTACCTCACAGGGGCGGATCCAGGAATGAAAAGTGGGGTGGGCTTAGCAGGAAAAAAATTGTTATTGCAAACAAAAAGTTTAGCTTAGACTGCTTAGGACCGTAATCGAATTGAGTTTTTTTCGAACTACGCGAATTCGAGCGTGATTTCGAATTTAATTTAGTGATCTGAGCTTAAGAAGCTTTTTTTAACTCAAACACGAGCTAGATTTTGAGTTCGAATAGTTGTTCAAGCTGAGTTCGAGCATAGTGGTATTCGGTTTGATCCGGACTCGAGTCTATCAATAACTCGTAAATTATAGGAATAAACTGCCAAGCCGCGCTTACCT